AATACTAATATATTCTTATATTATGAGTTTCAAAACATTTTATCAAGAAATAGAAAAGATTCATCTATATCCATTATATTGGTCATTTCACGTGTTGCACGTTTACGCTCTTGCAAGCACGTGCACGCAAAATGACCTTCGTTCCGCAAATCTACATAACATGCCTACTGACCCTGAAAAGGTTTCACCTAAGTCTGATGTGTAGTTTACAAGATCACTCGCGGAAAAGATTTTCCCAGGAAGAAGAAAAATAATAATAACTAGATGCGTTCTTGTTGCTTGGGCAACAAGCAGGTCTTCTGACCGACTTCTGTTTTGCAATCTATGCTGTGTCATCCCATGGAATAGATTTCATAATGTATTTTTTCGTTTACGTTCTTTAACAGTAGTTTCTCAACACAGATCGTGATTGTTCCAGGTATTTCACAAAATATCTCCAAATATAGCTTTTAAAAATCGGCAAAATCTTCCAAACATGTTATAAAACAGTGAAAAGTAATCCGCAACTGACAAAAGACAAAAACAAAGAAAAAATTTGGGGAACGCCCCGAGCGGGATTCGAACCCCCGACAGTAAGACAAAGTTTGGCTCGGTCATATCTTTGCAATAAACGCACGCATGAACAAGCTAATTCAGAGAATTCGTGTCCCCCGCTTAGGGAAAAAGTCAGCTCCCCCTGACTGAATTTGTAGAATTATTAAATGTATACATGTATACTGAAGCAAATAAAATACATGTATGACAATATTCATACAAAGATTTGATTGCTTATTCTTTATTATGTGTATAGAAGATTTTTTTTATATGGAATATTTATCACACTGTAATGATGATTTTATAACCTCATAAATTTTTCATTTCACATGCTGAATACTATCATTTAGTAAAAAAAAAAAAGTATTTAAAAAAAAAAAAAAATGAAAGGTTTTTATCCCGGGACCTCTCACATTTGAAGCGAGAGACATAACCACTAGACCACGGAGTCGCTGATAGAAGTATATGCAGAACTGAAGTCACATACATGTATATATTCATGTTCGGTATTCTCAAAATTTTACACAATCTATGGTGTTTGATTTATTTAGCCTTTATGAAACAGTTTTAATTGATGTAATAAGAACATAAAGTCCGCCGTAGAACCTGTTTTATACGCAATAACTCTCCTCATGCCCCTGCGCTAAAAATAGCGCCATGTAATACTATAAATACTAATAAAACAAACGGGGCGGGGCACTTTGAGAGGGGCAGACGTCCTAGGGAGTTTTGGTATAAAATTACATTGCATAAGCTGAAAATCTTCTTGAAATATCGCCTGGAAATGATAGTATTACATAAAGACAGAATGTATAAATTTACGACCTTGAACTTTGACCTTTTGACCTCAAAATCAATAGGGGTCTTCATTAGGCCACAGGGAGTTGTTATATAAAATTTCATTGCAATAGCTCACATGGTTCTCGAGATATCGTGTGGAAACGAAAGTGTTTTAACAGACAGAATTTGCTTATTTATGACCTTGACCTTTGACGTTTTGACCTCAAAATCAATAGGGGTCTTCTTTAGTCCATAGGGAGTTGCTATGCTAAATTTCATTGCAAAAGCTCAAAGGGTTCTCGAGATATCGTGTGGAAACGAAAGCGTTACAGACAGACAGAAAGACGGACGGACGGACGGACGGACGGACAAACCCAAATTAATATCCCCCACTTTTCAAGCGGGGGACAAAAAAATGAAAACATATATAGATATCTTTGAGGACGCTCTATAAACCCTGTAAATCCAAAGGAAAAATATTGAAAAACAAAAAAGTTCAAAAATTATACTGAAGTAGTAACGACAAAAAATGAAGGACGTTTGGCACATCTACTTTTGATGCTCTTTCATGTCCATGAGTTTCAATGTCATATCTTTAGCCGTTTTTGAGAAAAGTAGTGTATAAAAATCAATTTAAAAAATACAAATTTCCCCAAAAATCGCGAATGGAAGCAAATTTTGAAAAAATGAAAAACACGTCTGGAGATATTAATCTGATGCATCTTAAGTTTTCTGTAAAAATCTTTGAAATACGTACAGACACAGCTGAGATATCGCCATAAATATGAAAAAAAGAATAATAATAATAATAATAATAATAATAGGAAACCGACGGAAAACAATAAGGTCTTCCGAAGGAAGTCGGAAGACCTTAATAATAAGAAGAAACAGAGTAAAAACAATATGTTCCCCAACTTCGTTTGGGGAACATAATTACTTGTTAATCAACTGTTATTCGTGTCATTATTCAATAATGATTCATCATTTGAAATTACCGGTAGATAAAATTCTATCTTTGGGAACTTTTCAAAGCAACCTGAATTACTTGTTAATCAACTTTTATTCGTGTCATTATTTAATAATGATTCATCATTTGATATTAATCTGCCACAATTAAATTTTGTTACGGAGGAAACATTCTCTACCAATATAAAGCAAAGTAAATGGTTCATGGCAAAAAATGTTCAAGAATTAAAGTAGGTCACAAAACTCAAATATTTCTCTCAAAAGAATAAAAGTTGGTTTACAGTATAATACAAATTAAAAATCAGAAAAGTCAAAATACTTTTACTTTTTTTTTTATTAAAACTTCAATGAGAGAAATACAAGAATGTAAACAGTGTCAAGAAATGGATGCATGTACATGAATTTTTAGTAAAAAAAAAAAAATGTCCACATACAGATTGACAAAATATTTTTGAATACTTAAAATTTTCATATGTGTGTGCCAAGGAATAAATCTTTATCATTCATATTTAATACTCTCTAGCATTAGTTGACTGTTGGTTCATATGAACAGAGTATTATGGTGTACATGAGTATTAAGACAAGAGGTTCATAGCCAATGAATCACTCTTCCGATCAATTGTACAAACTGTCACTTCTTTTTGAAGCCCATTCATATTCTATCTAAATTACAATTTAAAGTAGGTCAATGTGACTTACATTTTGATTAATGCACTATAAGAACCCAAGATGCACCAAATGACAAAATTTGATGATTCTAATCCAATTAGTAACTAACATAAAATTACAGCCATGAAATTCAAAAATGTGACACAGTGACCTAATTTTTACTGACACACTCTGAGGACCCAAGATACATCAAGTGACAAAATTTGATGGTTCTCAAGCAAATAGTATCTGAAATATTTAAATATAGACATAAAATCCCAAAAGTAGATCACAATGACCTTCTTTTCAGTTGACACACTAAGGACCCAAGAGGCACCTATAAAATTTGTTGATTCTAAGCCAATTAATGTCTGATATATTTAAATATAGCCATAAAAAATCCCCAAAGTAGATCATGATGACCTACTTTTTAAGCACAAATCTGATGATTCTCAGCCAATTTATATTTGAAATATTTAAATTTAAAAAATCCCTAAGTAGATCATGGTGATATTTTTTTTTCAGTTGGCACACAGTGAGGACCCAAGTGACAAGTCTTGTTGATTTTAAGCCAACTAGTGTCTGAAAAAAAAATTAAATATAGCCATAAAAATCCCAAAGTAGGTCATGATGACCCACTTTTACGTTGACACACTCAGAGGACTCAATATACAGCAAGTTATAACATTATATGATTCTGAGTCACTTAATATCTAAAATATATAAATATAGTCATAAAATTTTAAAAGTAGGTCACCCTGACTCTGGGTTGGGGGTGGGGGGTAGGGAGGGACCCCAGTAAGGGATAAATTTTATCAAAATTATATATAGAACAAAATCTTTAAAAATCTTCTTCTGAAGAACAGCACAGTTATATACTACTAGTATACTAATATGGAGGCATCCTTGTGTAGTATAAAATTCAAGCCCCCCTCCCCCTTAGTAAACTTTTAAATATAGAGTAGAATGTGCTTTTCCCCTACCAATGTACTCAAGTGAGTATTATGGCCCATGGTCCTCTTGTGTTTATATTTTTCTTTTTTGAAGGTCACATCCCTGTTAAAAGTATATACCGGTGTATAAAAGCCCTCTAAGGGCTAAGATACTCTGTGACAAATTTGACAAAAAGGGGTTCTTGAGATATTTCCCATATCATATTCCAAACAGTTTAGGCACACTGCACAGATTGTCATAGCATTAGCTCTTTGAGTCTTTAATTCAGAAGAGCTAAAAATGAATTAAAAATTCCAATTTCCATCACTACACTCTTCAAACAGTCCATGCTATAATTGTTGGATATCCCTTAAGGTTTTATGAGCCACAGTTACAGGATTGTTACAAAATAACTAAAAAAGATTGCCTGAGTACAATAAATGATTCTTATATAAATATTGCATGTAGTTGAGTGTAACATTGAAAATTTTCACCCCAAGAAAACCACTGTCAACTGAGGCGCAGCCGAGGTTGACAATGGTTTTCGAGGTGTGAAAATTTTCAATGTTACACTCGACTACATGCTATATTTATTATATTATACTGAATGTTTTATACAAATATATTTCCATTTCTAATTTTTCTCTCTGCGATAACTCTTTGAAAGTGTTCGGAGTTTATTTCTTGATAATTCTGCTGGAATGTAAATTAGGCAGGTCGATAGGTCAGGAGCTTAGGAGGCCTAAAATGCATGCAAATCTCGTGCGCATCTGTCTCTATGTCTGACACTAAGGAGGCAAAATTTGCATGTAAATCTCGTGCAGCTGCCTAGGTGTTTGACGTCATTGGGCGAGTACTATTGAAATTGGCATGGAAGTCCTCGTGTAATTTAAGTCTATTTCTACAGTTTTAAAGTCTAAATCTACCATTTTATTTCACACTGAAATGAAAATATAAGGAATCACTGTCTAGTTAGGAGAGTATGCTAGGGACAACAACAATAGTGGGAAACATGGGATAATTTTAGCATAACGGGCTTCGCCCGTTATGCAAATTATCCCATGTTTCCCACTATTGTTGATGCCCTGGCATACTCTCCTAACTAGACAGTGATTCCTTAAACATATAACAGTGAACCGTGTGCGCATAAATTCTGCGCAGTCGCTATTTTTTGGAATACCACCCGTCGTTAAGAAATGTTGACTGTTGCTACGCTGGAGGGCGTGGCTTCATTATTCAGTGGATAGTAGTGTTTTTTTAACAAATGTTTCTCGACCAATCAGATTCAACTAATTTACATGAAAGTATAATATAACAAGATAATGCCTTAAGGTTGCATGAGCCACATTAAGGTGATTACTACAAGATAACTCTTTAAGGTTGCAGGAGCCACATTAATGTGATTATTACAAGACAGCTCCTTTAAGGTTGCAGGAGCCACATCATGGTGATTATTACAAGATAGCTCTTTAAGATTGCAGGAGCCACATTAATGTGATTATTACAAGATAGCTCCTTTATAGTTGCAGGAGCCACATTAATGTGATTATTACAAGATAGTTCCTTTAAGATTGCAGGAGCCACATTAATGTGATTATTACAAGATAGTTCCTTTAAGATTGCAGGAGCCACATTAAGGTGATTATTACAAGATAGCTCCTCAAGGTTGCAGGAGCCACATTAAGGTGATTATTACAAGATAGCTCCTCAAGGTTGCAGGAGCCACATTAAGGTGATTATTACAAGATAGCTCCTCAAGGTTGCAGGAGCCACATTAATGTGATTATTACAAGATAGCTCCTTAAGGTTGCATGAGCCACATTAAGGTGATTATTACAAGATAGCTCCTCAAGGTTGCAGGAGCCACATTAAGGTGATTATTACAAGGCAGCTCCTCAAGGTTGCAGGAGCCACATTAAGGTGATTATTACAAGATAGTTCCTTTTAAGATTGCAGGAGCCACATTAAGGTGATTATTACAGGATAGCTCCTTTATAGTTGCAGGAGCCACATTAAGGTGATTATTACAAGGCAGCTCCTTCATCCTCTTCACTATCTTCCTCGTACCACTGATCATATTCTGGCTCTGAGGAGGAGGAAGAGTAGCGGGACCTGGACACCTGTGGAGTTGAGACTGCATTGACAGACCTGAAACAGTAATTAATAATGATAATTACTTACCCGGTAGATTCATCCTATTGTATAATAAACAACTATTAGATTGATGTATTTCTTTGTAGTAAATCTGTTTATAGCCCTTTTTGGATTCCCAGAATATAGGAACAATGTTTAATCACCCCATCCCCCATCGCAAGAAAAAGTGATAAATAAGTTTTCAAAGCTTAACATTAATAAGTATGATATAAAAAAAAATCATAATTCACTTCAAAGAGTGGCTTTTGCTTTAAATGCCAGTACCAACAGCATACTGTATTTAACAATCTGTAATATTAAAAGTAATTGAATCAAACAAATCTGAGGATGTCTCCATCAAGAAACAAAATAAATTGTAACATTAACCTTTGCTGAAGGTTGAATCTAACACTAGCATTAGTGAACTTGGAGCCATAGTGCCCTGCCCAGAATTGCCGATCTTTGCCTTTGTGTTGGAATTTTATATACCTCAGTCCTTCTGGATATGTTGTAAAAATATGCTCAACCTAAAAACAATAATTTAGTCTAGTTCATCATTAAATGTCTGAAATGACTGGAAAATGTGATTTATATTTTTGGTTAACCTTAAATTCTCATTGCATCCCTCTTAGCACTTAAAATTAATAAAAAATTCATTTATGATATTTCTCTCTATCCAATTATCTGTGATCTAATTTGGCTTTATCCTTCTATCTGTAATTTGAAGTAAGGAAGAAATGAGAAAGAGAGAGAGAAAGAGAGAGAGAGAAAGAAGAACCAGAAACCAAGTTAAAACAAGGCACATCGTAATCTTACAGTAGTGAATTTGTTAACAAGTCTTAAAAGTTTCGATCCACACCTATTTCAGATTGCTGTGTCACAGCATGTGTATAGACTACTGATACTTATAATACCAGTCTACCTGAAACCAGTCCCTGCCTGCCGGTTTTTCATCAGAGAACGACCACTTATCCAGCTCCTTGGATTCAGCATCTAATAGCTTTACTTTTATGTGGTACTCCATTTTGCAGTCAAACCTTGCTGCATACCTTTAAGGTAATACAGTAAAACTTGTTTAGTACGAACATGGATATAGCGAATTCATGGATATAGAGAAGCTATCTTGGATCCCCAGCAATATAAATTTAACACATTCCTTGTACGGATATAACGAATTACTGATATAACGAAGTAATTTTTTTGGTCTCAGTAACTTAATTCGTTAGAACTGAGTTTTAATGTATATAATTTTTTTTTTAAAAATCTCCATGCAATGTTCAAACTTGTCTTATCTTGTTGAATTGAAAAATTGAAAAAAATGAAGTTCATGGTTCTTTTGGGAAATGGGAGGAATTCTTTATAAACAATCAACTTATCACTCAAAGTGGGTATTAAGTGGGGAATGGCCTTGAGGTCTATAACAATGAGATCTACCATTAATGGGGAAAAGGAAAAGTGAATTTGATAAGATGTGACCTACCACTCCGAGACCTGGATCTCAGGTTTTATTTGATAAGATGTGACCTACCACTCCGAGACCTGGATCTCGGGTTTTATTTTATAAGATGTGACCTACCGCTCCGAGACCTGGATCTCGGGTTTTATTTTATAAGATGTGACCTACCACTCTGAGACCTGGATCTCGGGTTTTATTTTATAACATGTGACCTACCACTCCAAGACCTGGATCTCGGGTTTTATTTGATAAGATGTGACCTACCACTCCGAGACCTGGATCTCGGGTTTTATTTGATAAGATGTGACCTACCACTCCGAGACCTGGATCTCGGGTTTTATTTGATAAGATGTGACCTACCACTCCGAGACCTGGATCTCGGGTTTTATTTGATAAGACGTGACCTACCACTCCGAGACCTGGATCTCGGGTTTTATTTGATAAGACGTGACCTACCACTCCGAGACCTGGATCTCGGGTTTTATTTGATAAGATGTGACCTACCACTCCGAGACCTGGATCTCGGGTTTTATTTTATAAGACGTGACCTACCACTCCGAGACCTGGATCTCGGGTTTTATTTTATAAGATGAGACCTACCACTCCGAGACCTGGATCTCGGGTTTTATTTTATAAGATGTGACCTACCACTCCGAGACCTGGATCTCGGGTTTTATTTGATAAGATGTGACCTACCACTCCGAGACCTGGATCTCGGGTTTTATTTTATCGAGGACCTCAGGAGAGCACCCTTCCTTAAGTAGGTCAATAGTCTGATGCTTCTCACACATTCCGTATGACGTCACCCAGCACTTGTAGGGTCCTAAAAGTAGACAACCACATTGTGATGTAATTAATTTCATTTAGAATTAATAACAGTCATAAAAATATTTCAAGATTTAAGCATTCTGATGCCTGATTATATATACACCATAAAACTTCAATCAAAGGACAAGTTAGGGTAAGACCCCTATTTGGCACCCGATTTTGGGTGTCTTTCAGAATAATCCAACAGTTTATCCATAAAAGCCTGTTGTCACCCCTGCACATATTGAGTACTGGTTCTAAGATTTAGAATGACACAGAAAGGTCAGGAAGTAGGGCAATTTTCAAATTTTCTCATTTTTATGCAAAATCTTATCGATTTTATGGTACATTTTGTTTCAGAAAACATACAGCATAAGCTTGTCTATCTACCAAATTTATATATTTTATACACTAGTATCAGATGAGTTTATGTGTAAAAATCTCAGATAGGCAAGCTTGTGCTCTGTGTTTTCTGAAGAGAAAAGTATCTCAAAAAATATGATGAAATTCCACCAAAATTGAGAAAATTCTGGGAAATGTCCTACTTCTGCAACCTTTTGTGGCTTCCATGTAGGATTTGTTTTAAAGTAAGCATCATTTTAACTTCTTAACTTCAAACTATCACAATTTTACCAGAGTTCTGCTGATTTTTATATCATATAAGGGGCCAGATTAGGCCATTACCCTATCTTTCCTTTATGTTTGATTTTAGCATTGCCCATCTTAATTTATAACAAGAGACCCATGGGCCACATTGCTCACCTGAGCACATGGATTAGGGTATGTCTTTTAACCACAAGGAACCACATTAAAATTAAATAAGATGTCATTGGTGTGTCCTTGTTGTGTCCTTGTGGTTCCTTGTGGTTATAAGACAATTTAAGACATACCTCATGGATTAGGTAAAAACACAAATCAGCTCTGAGTTTTGAAAAGTTTACTCAAAAAGGGGGATTGGATTTTATACTACCTAAGAATAACACCATGTCAATATAGCATACATGTATAACTTTGCATATCTTGAAAAAAAGGTTTTTAAAGATATTTTTCTGCATATTACTTTGTAAAAAAAAAAATGATTTCCAGTTGTGACCCCTCCTTGCTCCTCCTCTTTGCTGTTCTTCAGAAGAAGATTTTTAAAAGATTTTTCATATATAGTTCTATGTAAAATTTTGTTTGCCCTTTATGGCCCCACCTTACCCCTGGAGGTCATGATATGGATAAACTTGAATTTACACTACCTAAGGATGTTTCCATATGATTTATTCAAATGAAGATCACCATTCATTGTATTGCTGTTCTTGAGAGGAAGATTTTTAAAAGATATTTCCTACTTTCTATTCCAATGTAAAACTTTGATTGTCCATTGTTTATGTTATAGCTTACCTTTATATAAATGCTATAGTTTTATCTTTATATGAAAATGTTTGGTTTTATCTTTATGATATAAATGCAAAAGCTTTCTCTTTATGATATACCACAGTAAATGCTATAATTTTATCAACATTCCTTAATATACATGCTATAATCTTACTTTTATGATACACATGCTAAAGTTTGACCTTTGTCATATATATATGCTTATAATAAGTCTATCCTTTATGATATAGATGCTATAATCTTAGTTTTGTGATATACATTCTTTATTACATTTTCAACAGTGAAATAATGTAATTTATTCATTGAATAAAAATGATATTCTGTCACAGTGTGAAAGGATATCAAAATGTGACAAATATCAAAAGTGCGGTAAAACTCTCGATTTACCTTCCAATAACAAAGAATGTCATAAGAAATACTCCTTGGTCCATTAGAAAATAAATATATCATTCTGACATAAGATAAAACTGCCAAAGATCCCCTGCATACTTAGTTGAAATCCTTGTTTACATTTTCAACCTCACAACACTTGGCTATCACGTCTTAACCGCTCAACTAAGACGTCATGTAGCCTATGACTGCATAGAAAAAGAAAGAGGAAAAGGGAAAATCAAAGAAAATGTAATAAACAGAAAATTCTAAGTTTTGTAGTTGAATATGGAATTTATTTCACTCTTGAAACAGGATTTTTTTTTTATATTTTCACGAGTGCGAAGCACAAGTGAAAATATTAAAAAATCCTGTCTCAAGAGTGAAATAAATTCCATATTCAACCACAAAACATTGAATATCCTCTATATATTCTTACCTTTTATGTCTGTGAACTTCTCCAATGGATGACTCCCTGATGGTTTGTTTTCAACAACAAATCGATCCCCTCCATTTTTGACGATTTTCCAATGATTAAATTTGTCTGAAAAAGCATTAATCTATTAAAGGATGAAATTCTAATTTCCATGTTATAATTTGAATATTTATGCATTGATAATTTCAGCATACTATTAGGTTCAATAGAGCTCTAAACCAGGGGCAATGAACATCGCAGGTTTGGATGAGGCACCTTTGCTCATCACACCATCTGCTTAAAACCCAGGTACATATAAAAAGATTTTCAAAATTTCAAAGAATGAATACATATGTTATTATATCATCAATAGATGCATGCCATAATACAAGAACCTCTGACTGTGAAACCATGAAAGTCAAAGTGTTGGCTGAGATACCCTAACTTGCTCATCATAGTCATATACTTTGTTTGCTCAATACCCAACCGCAGAGGATTTTAAGATTGGTGTCAGAATTATTTTCCTATTTTAGGATCAATATGATCCTAGGGCATAAAGAACTTTATTCGGTAATAACCAATATTTGCTCCCCAAATCAAACTTTGATGGAGATATATTTAATTAAGTTCTTAAACAGGGGAGTATATGCTGACTTCAAAGCACTGAATATTTTCATAAGTAATGACGCCATATGTACGTAATGACGTCATAAACATGACGTAAATCTCAGTTTTTTATGAATTTTACAGAAAAATGTACATATTTCGTCGATATTTTGAATAAAAGTCACCGAGCGCATGTGTGTTCAGAATCGATATTTTGATATAATATGTAGAATGATAATGTCAATGAAATATGTCAATATTGTTCCTGAACAAACTTGCGCTCTATAAATTTTAAAGCTAAAATTGTTGAAATTTTGTCCATTTTGTCCTCTTTCTAAAAAAGGATATAAAATCGGACTAGTTTGTGACGTCATAAAAGCAAAAATTGTGAATATACTGCTTTGACACTATAATATTTTCTGTTAATTTATATTTCTCATACAATTAATTGAATTCAGCACATTTCAGGAAGTTTTCAAAATTTGACTTTTGTGGGGGCAAATATATGCAATATACCGCATATAGTTCTTTTACAAATTGATAAAGGACTCAATTAATCATGCAGCAGTTCGACTCAAGGGATTGTTCGAAGATTTCTTTGCATTAATTTTGATGGTTTTCGCAAAAACTTAAGATCTCAACAGTGCAGGGACCATTCATTATTACAGACCTTTTTACCCATATAGTTGTCACATCAGTATTTTTCATTAGAATTGTCCGTGAGATTTGGCGTTTGCCAGTAAGATTTCACTTTCCATTAATTTTACAAATAAAAATGGAGAACATTAACTCCTTTCCTGATTACTAAAACATGGTTAAATAACATGATCTTGATCATTTTATACCATACGGCGTTTTGGCAAACTAACATAACTGAATTTGAACATTTTGTTAGCGGTTAAAAAGTATGAAACTGAGACAGATCATAACGAAAACTAACTTCTCAATTCTAAACAAGTATATCTCTTATTTCCGTATTCTCATAATAGCAAAACATATTTTGGACTAAAAATTCGTACAAAACACGGCGAAATCGTAAGCGTAAACAGGTCTGTTATTAACAATTAACAATTTTCGTTCCCCTTTGCTGAGGCTAAATTACAAATTTTGACTATCAATCGCAATTGGCTGAGCAGTTCAAAAAGAGAGAAAGCGATATAAGATATCACCAAGGTGACTCAGTTGACCTAAAGAGTTAACAAACTGATGAATGGGCAAACTCTGATTTGAACAGCCCACTTTAACTATTGTCTCATAGTTGAAAATTACTATGTATCCTGATCTATTCTATGTACAGTGTGTATATACCTAATGCACGTGGATTCTGGATCAAATTTCTTTTATATGGGTTTTGAAAAAAATATTTCTTAAAATCATCTGGTGGGAAAGGTAGCCATTTGGAGGAGTAGTATCCGGCTCTCTCACATTTTGTTTTCCAAAGAGTTTGACTATCTATCAATTGTTTCCAGGTTTTACAAACCAAGGAACACCTCAATAAGAGATCCTTTTCATTCACAAATGACAGAACATGAAGCAGCACAGTGTCTGGCACTTCACTTAAATCCATTATTGAGTGGCGTGTGCCCATCTTGTGTTGTCTTTTATGAATAAGTTCGGCACCTGATCCTGAGTAACATGATGGTTTTTCCTGAATGTAAACAAACTTAGTTGTGGGTATAAGTAGTTTTTATTTCAAAAAGTAATACGAAAAATAATACTATGATTTGTGGTTCATATACACTATTAAAAATACATATAAATAATAAATTAATCTAATAAATATTTCACTATTATTATTTTCTTTCATAGCTTTGTGCAAGACGGATTGTTGTGTTCTCTTAAATGAAATCCTTTTACCGATACCCGAGCTCTTCAATTAGAGAAGATAGAGAAGCTAGAAAACATGGATAGATTTAGATGTAGCAATTCTAAAAATGAAAAAGAAAGATATAACGATGATGGTTTGGGAACAATTTCATCAGATGAGCAGGTGAGCAACATAAATAGGCTAATCTATGATTTACGTTGATTCTAAAGCCTTACGATTTCACATATCTTCAATTGGTAATAGAAAAAGCAGAACACGTGAACGGGTACAAGTCAAAACGGCACCTGGTGAAAACGGCACTTAGGAAATATGCAAAACGGCACTTGAGAGTAGTCAAAACGGCACTTTTTAATTTTGAGAATTTGATATTGTTTATACAGAAAATGGATCTTTATATTACATTTATAGTAATAAATGTGTATATAATTATTGATAAAAATGTTTAAAAAATATTTTAGGGGAAAAAATTGACTAATTCGTTTGAAAATTATTGTACTTTTGTACAGTGGTTAGATTTTTTTAAATGTACTTTTTTAAATAATATATCTAATATTTTCTACAAAAGAGATCAAATCCAAATTATATTATTATGACCCTTTGAAATTTAAAAATTTATAGTATTGCTAATATGGGTTTACAGTCACTTCGTACACAAACCGAGTCGTACACAAACCAACTCGTATACAAAAAGTCAACTCGTACACAAATAAAAGTCAACTCGTACACAAACCAGAAGTCAACTCGTACACAACTCATACATAGGTTTTCCTATGTGATTTAAGGTAATTAATATTTGCCACAGTTTCCAAAAAATTGAGAAGTCAACTCGTACACAAATGTGTTTTCTGTACATTTTTAACTAGTTTATGCCTCTGATTATCCATATACCATATGCGCGATGCGATGCGCATATTGATTTGTTGACAAGATTTTCCGGAATGTATATTGTACATGTCGTACATAATTTTGTTATATAAATATATATTTGGTTGACACATGATGGGGCCGTTTCTCATCTTTGTTGTGGTTTATTAATGAAAACACAGACAAAGACATGCCATTTCCTATTTATTTTTTATTTTTATATAATATCTACATACCAAAACAAAAGTAAGATAAAACCAGCACAAGTAACAAGCACTATTAATAAAAATACACTAAAACTAAATTCACTACAAGCACTACTGGTCACAAAACACAGTCACTAGAAGCACAGATAAAATGCACTAAAACTAAACCACAACTCAGTTTTGGTCACAACACAGTCAGGTTTCAGAAGGGGCTGTACAGACGGCCAAGTTTCTTCAGAAGGGAAGATCCAAGAAACCACCACGCGTGTGTTGGTTTAACAATACTTCTTTGATGTCTTTGATGTTCCTATCAGGGAAGTTGAATTATTTAAATATTTAGGGAAAAACTTAAAGAAAAGTAACACTTTGTGTTATCAAACATTATTTTTATAAAATTAAATCATAACGATTGTATATAAATGTTGTGTACGAGTTGACTTCTGGTTTTTGTGTACGAGTTGACTTTTTGTATACGAGTTGGTTTGTGTACGACTCGGTTTGTGTACGAAGTGACTGGACACCCTAATATGTATACTACTCTGTTTTGGGGGTTGCCAGTCACAGTTGACTAATTAGAAGCCAGTCAGAGTATGTTTACTTAGAATACACTTGTAGGAATAAGAAACAAGACTTTTTCACACCTCCCCCTCTATAATTTGTTGATCGTCAATTTGCAATCATATACAGTTACTATTGTGTATTTCTTGACAATATGTCAAAGGGATTGAAACTTAGATTTTCCTCTCTAAACTGTACATAAAATCTGAATAGCCATACAACATTTACTAAAGTTTTTTTTTACAATATGAAACCTGTACATAGAAGAACAAAAACATTTGTTTGTTGTTGTTTCGTTTTTTTTTTTTTAATAACTGAAGAATATCAATTTATTTCTATTTAATAAATGAATATTGTTACAAATAATAATTTATTTAGATGATAAAATGATGCTGTTATTGTTTTTAATCTTGTTTTTGAAAATAACGTTACATTTAAAAACTATGCTGTTATTTCATTAATTTAAAAAAAGGAGACTAAAAGATGAAGATACTGATATTTCAAGGAATAAAAAAAAAGCATTTCAAATTTGGTATTTAAATGTATGAATCTGTGGGGAAAAGTATGTATATGCATAGGTTCATACATTATAATTTAATTTTATATATATCAGATAGATTTCATAAAAAATTATTACAGCGTATACATCATGTACATGAAATGGACCCTCCCAGAAAACAAAAATTATATATGTTTACATGTATATATACTCACACAAATATATATCAATCTATATATCAAATTATCATTGCATATAATTTTTTCTATAAGTGCCATTTTGACTAAGTGCCGTTTTCACTAAGTGCCGTTTTGACCAAGTGCCGTTTTGCATAATCCAAGTGCCGTTTTCACTAGGTGCCGTTTTCACCAGGTACCGTTTGAACCATAATTCCACGTGAACATGGTGACCATTTTTATCACTGATGCCATTATTACAGGTCTGGTACAATCACTAGATTTAGCTACGTAGCTTGATTTACCTACATAGCTTTATTTACCTAAGTGATGATAGCTTTGTTTGTCTACCAAATTGGTTTATTTCTATTTAAAAGCATTTTTCTCAGGGTGTGCAGAAAATATCATTTTGATGCAGTGATCATTTACAACTTTGAACTCATCTGAAAACAACTCATGAAAAAATCCCTCTTGAAAAAATGTCTTTTACATGCGCAATTGCAATCAAACAAAAGTGGGGCTATGTATGACAGTTAGAACAGTTACCCCTTGGAAGAAATGACAAAGAAGTCCAGTTCCGGTTAACACGATACATAGGTCAGTAATTATTCAGCACAATGTGAAGTAATCATCTCACAGTCATGCCTCAAGGGACAGCTAACCAAACAATGGAATTACATGTTTTGCTCTAAATTGTAAACGCAGTAATGTATAAACTATCTCTGCTTTGGATTGTTTCTCTAATGTGATCTAGAAGATAAATTTCAATAGTCATTTAATTGAATTTTTGTCTCTTTTTAATAAAAAGAAAACTTTTGAAAAGGTTACCTTGAAATAGCTAAAAAATTTGAAAGTAGGTACATGAAAGCTACTTTTCCAGGAATTTTTGACACAATCTAGTGATTGTACTGGACCTGTATTATACATGTTAACGGTTACCTACTGTGATGAAGAGGATAAAGATCTCAAAAGAGCTAGTGTTCTGAGCGGTGTTATACGTTTTTATTCTTAGAAGAGAATCAAGATATATATATTAATAACTTAAGATAGCCTCAAATGGCTATAAATGCAATAATATTCTCTTTAGAGAAGTGGACAGGCTCTCGCCTACATCCACTTCTCTTCGCAGGCCTTCATGTCATTCTGAAAAATGTAATATGACTATTAGGACGAGCACAAATACTCATTCAGTTTTAATTCAGATCGGGCTCATCAAACTGCACGTGGCATTGTGTAGACTCAGACATCACATGACGTTGTTTGTAAGTTGCATTACCAAAAAGAAGCCTGAGCAGTGCTGAAGGTGAATGAAGAAGGTTTCGTTTACAATCTATCTTTAATATATGTATCCATTAACAGGTCCGGCACAATCTCTTGATTAAGCTATGTAGCTTGATTTAGCTATATAGCTTTATTAAGCTATTCAAAATAGCTTAATTAAGCTATTTCATTAAGCTTTTTTCTCAAATGTGTTATTTTTTCAACATGTGCAAAAAGTTGCACCTTGGTGCAGTAGAAATATTGAACTTTGAACTCTTCTGAATGCAATCCATGTAAAAATCACTCACCAAATTGCATCTCCTCTAGAGATTTTGTACTCAAAGTTTTAAAAGTTTGGGGCTATTAATAGTGACTACACAGTTATTTCTTGAATGAAATTATAAAGGAGGTCAATTATGACCAACAGTATAATTGATTGGTAACATTTCAGCACAAGGAGAAGCAATCATACTTACCCATGCCTCACCGCACGCAAAATAGTGGACATGTAGTTATACAAACAATGGAAATTCATATTTTGCTTAAAAGTATTCAACAGCAGCAATGTTAGAACTTTCTATGATTTGGGTTGTACTTTTGATGCAATCCATGTAAAAATCACATACCAAATAAATACTTGTGACTTTTTGTATTTCTGCAAAAAGTTTTTTAAAAGTTTGCATATAAATAGCTTTATCAAGCTATTTTGAATAGCTTGATAAAGCTATATAGCTTTTTAAAGCTATATAGCTTAATCAACAGATTGTGCTGGACCTGATTAAATCAAGGCGAGTTAACTTTTTGTTAAACTTTTGGCGTTAATCTTGCAAGAATGTAGCTTTCACAAGTGATGCATTGTGGGTCCAGAGTAACTGCAGAAAAAATTTGTTTGGATTAATGTGCAAAGTCCGAATTTTCTCTTTTTTAAGTGCTCGCAGTGACGAGCTGCACTGCGCTCCATTTGCTATGTTTGTGTAGAATCGGTGACAGCCTACACTTCTAATGAAGTGAAGTTTGAAGCAATTCTTTTTAGTGACATGAAGAATGTCAATAAATAAATCGTATTCCAGAATGAAATCAAAAGACATTAATTTTAGCTTATAAATAAGAAATCTAAAGTTACCATCAAAGCATAATTTACCTACCTGAAGTGTAGGGGTGAAATATAAATGTCCTTCACTTGAGATTAACTATATTTCTTATTACATGTATATTGTCTCACCTTGGTATGATTATTTTCGATGCAATATATTTTGATAGAAGGAAAAATTCAATGCTGTATTATTATTTTTTTTGTTTCACTGAAATCCAATCACTTATTCAACGAGTTAAATGACTCAGAAAAAAATATTACAATGGATTGACTGTTAAAATCTAAAATTTTAATTATGCTGAGTAGCATAGCTATACCAAGTATTTTGCTGCCAGAAGTAATCCCAACCAAAAGGTAGTAAAAAGCTTAAAATTATAGAGATTTTGGACTTGTGTAATCCAGAACAATCACCTACATAGCTTTATTTAGCTATACTCTAAAGCAACTATTAAAAGTCGCATCATCTTAATATAGTGATTGTTCTGGTTTGAAATCAATCCACGACAATTTATCTCTGCTAATTGACATTTGATCTAAATTTTAGATAATTTTTCTTTTCTTGACTAATAGTGTTTTCTTTGTAGAAAGAGGTAGAAGAATCTGTGTCCCATTACTTCAAGTATTTTGCTGCCAGAAGTCATGCTGAGAAAGAGTAAGTAGTAAAAAGCTTAAAATTACTATATATTGTTTATGTTTGTTTGTATATTGGAGACACTTTGAAATTTGCTATAGTTTCTCAGTCAAACTCAATCAATCAATCTCAGTCAAACATCAGTCAACCATTAAAATACTATATACTGTAGATTCCTTATTTTTTTGGAGCACTTTTTATTGCGAACTGTGTCTTTAACGTCAAATCACGAGAATTATAATTTGCAAATGGATGGTTCATCAACAGAATTTACATAGATTTCAGCATCATGAAAAGAAAATTGAGTAATATTTTTTCACGAGTGACGCTTATCGTGAAATTACGCGGAAATTAATTCCTCGCATATAATTAGGAATCTACAGTATGTTTGTTTGTATGTTTGTCAAACATCCCCTTGAAGTTTTTACTCATATTGAGACACCACCACTTGCCAGAAGAGGGCTCCAAATTAAGATAAGTACTTGACACTTATGACCTTTGTCTTTGAGTAGTAAGGGATCTTTTTTCATGTTACTGTGACAAGGGTTTATACAATCTCATTTGAAAAACAGTCTTCACGTCCCAAAATGAAACTAGTGCTAATTGTAACGGGGACCGTTACAGATGTTCCCCAAACTCTCCCCAACTCCCTTTTGGTGCCATATTCCCTGTAATCTCTATTAAATAAGAAATGCTTTATGGAATTTAGACTTAATCAAGGTCTTCCCAGAAAAATACAAAATATATTTAAAAATAGGCATTGCAGCGTGTTCATGTGCGTAACGACCATATTATCTTGTCTACACTATCTAAAATTTTAATATACTTAATATCAAAGCATTTAATCCAAAAGTATTGAAAAATACACTCATTCGAGTGTATTTTTAATTTTACTCATTTCACTTGCACGCATGTGTAAGCACGTGCAAAATGACTACACCTTCATGTAGGAGTCCCTTATATTTATCTATGTTCTAAATCCCATCCTGTTTGGTTGAAAAACAAGGGAGTTATAGCAATTTGAAGCTTCAGCCAATCAGATTGCAGCACACATGCATGCGCGTGATTTCATAAATTTTTATCTTTATCGTACTGAAGGATATCTAAATGAGTGACAATATTTTAAAATTCCAAACATTTCGTCAAAATGCAAAGGAGATATAGCCATATAAAGTTTCAGCCAATCAGATTGCAGCACACGTGCATCCGCGTGATTTCATGAATTTTTTCTATATCATATTGTAGGATATCCTAATGCATGACTATGTTTTAAATTTCAAAGCATTTCGTCAAAAAACAAAGGAGATATAGCCATTTAAATTTTCAGTAAATCAGATTGCAGCATGCGCGCATGCGCATGCTTTTATGAAAATTTTTATATATCATGCTGTAGATCTTCATAATGTAGGACTATGTTAAAAATTTCAAAAGATTATGACAAGAAACAAGAAAGATATTGAGCTTTTAGTTTCAGCCAATCAGAGCGAAGCGCACGTGCATGCGCGTGAGATCTTGTTATTTTGACCATGCCATCTTGTCTATACTACTAATGTATCCTTACATTATGAGTTTCAAAAAAATTCATCAAAAAAATAGAAAAGTTACAGCAATATCCATTATATTGGTCATTTCAAGTGTTGCACGTGCGCGCTCTTGCAAGCACGTGCGCGCAAAATCACCTCATTCGGCAAATCTACATAACATGTCTACTGACCCTAAAAACATTTTACCTTAGTCGGATGTGTAGTTTACAAGATCATTCGTGGACAAAATTTTCCCAGGAAGAAGAAAAATAATAATAATAATAACTAGAAACGACCTCGTTGCGAGCAACGAGAGGTCTTCCGTCCGATTCTGAAATAAAAAACGAAAAATCTAGCTGAAAAAGTCGTAAAAAAATATTGGTCACACGGGGGATCGAACCCTGGTCGCCCGCGTGAAAATCCAACGCGCTAACCATTACGCCATCGGGAACACCGCTTCAAATTTTTAAATGCGAATTTCTCGAGATTGGCTTCTTTAATTCTAAAATAAATTACACATTTCGCATTCCTTTAAGAGTCTCTATTAACCCCATGAAATTCAAAGAAAAATAATGAAAAACAAAAAAGTTGAAAATTTTGATTTTTTTAATTCGCTTCCGGTAGCAACCGGAAGTACTGACGACACACGAAATGGACATTCCGCATATCTAGAAGCCATGCCCTATGTTCTCCAACAAGTCTCCAGTTCATATCTTTAGTAGTTCTTTAGATCTCGAACTGACAAAATTTCATTTTAAAATCAGGAAAATGGCCATAACTTGGCACCAGAAGCGAGTTGTTCCAAAATTCTTCCAAAATTAACAATGGCATATAAGAGACGCATCATCGACAAGTGAAGAAAAATGTAAACAAAAAGATTGATGAAAAACTAATGAATAGTTCTCGAGATATCGCGTGCACAAAATTTGTCTAAAAAATAATAATAATAATAATAATAAGAAACAGTAAAAACAATATGTTCCACAACTTCGTTTGGGGAACATAATAATAAGAAACAGAGTAAAAACAATATGGTCCCCAACTTCGTTTGGGGAACATAATAAGAACTTGAGACTTAGGACAAACTTCTTACTCTGCTACTCGAGAGCAAACGCTAACCACTGCAGGTGATGTAGAATATATGAAAATACATTATTAAAAAGTATTTTATTCAGATTATCCTGCTTCTGATTAAATCTTGAAATTTATTGATAAATAGGAATTCTGTATGAAAATGACATGATGTTGCCTGCTGACATGATATTGTACTTATTATCTACTGACCTTATGAACTATTGATCATAAATCAATTCCCTAATTAACTTTTATAGGACCAAGAATATTTGGAATTATCCATGTAATATAGTACCACAATTAGGATGGACAAGAAAAATATCAGAAAAAATTAGGTCAATCTCTCTGAGCACAATCCTCCTTAAAGCAACAAGAAATTGACATAAACTTTAAAGCACTAGGTATATATAAAAGAATAATCAGATTGGGACAAACTGTTCTAAATTGTTTATATATTGATTTATTATTTAACATGTTTTTATTAATAATTTGTAGGTCATTTGAATTACCATCTCTTAAAAGAGAACAGCATCTTCTTTTTCTAAAGAAAGGATTACAACATCTCTCAAATTCTTATGAGGTAATACTCTAAAACAAAACTAATGGGCAGCATATCAAGTATAATCTTAGAATCAAGGAGTTTTCAAATTACATGTATTATAATTATGAAGTTAACAAATAATTAAAAATAAAGAAATTTAATACTGTTTAAAAAAAACCTACATGTTTTTAGTGTTTGGATGCCAGTCGTACGTGGTTGTGTTATTGGATTCTGCATAGCTTAGAATTACTAGACGAAAATGTTTCTGATGATGAAATTTCAATGTAAGTATCAGAAAAAGGAAAATTTTTATATGGTTTGTATATTATCTATATACCTTACAATCCCTATTAGCAGCCTGTGCCCCGATAAGCCCCCTCTCCAGGTCTTATCCAATTGTAAGGAAATAAGGGCCCCTTGTACAATGATGAAAACAATAAAAAATTGTATCAAAAGTCTGCTATAATTTGAAGAAGTGAAAATGAAACTTGGTTATGGGGTAACATTAAATCTAAAAATGAGAATATCAAATATTTGCCCCCTTTTTGCAATTTTCTAAGTGCCTGGGGCAGTTAACAAGGATTATACGGTATATCAAGTTGTGTTGGGAAAAAATGGGTGCCTATAAATTTGGTAATATAATCATAAATGTTACTAAAGCAGAATTCTCCTGGTACATGTAGAACAAAGGGCTACTGCAGGGCACATTTACTTGATCATATTGCAATCAAAATCTCAAAATAAAACTATTTTGTCAGGGTTGAGTTTCCATTGTTTCTCCTTAAAAATTAGGACCAGGCCTAAAAGATTATGATTCCTAATCTTGTGACTATTAGTTTTTTAAATGACCTTTGTTTAACATGATAATACTTTCTATGGTTATATGATCAACCTTTGTATCATATTTATCCTAATATTTACGATTAATAGTTAATACACAGATATTCTGAGGAATATTATATGTGTACTGTACATCCTCTAACTTTCAATTTGTAGAATCTCCAAGTTTTTGGAAAAATGTCAGTGTTCAGATGGAGGCTTTGGAGGTATGTAAAACTTGCACAAGACATGGACACTAAATTTCTCAGTAAAGTAAAATCTCTGTTGTATGCTTCATCTTAATGAATCTCATACTTAAATTTATCATACAAGTACATTATGTCGGCCAAAATTATGAAATACACTCAATGAATGATCCATTTTGTTTCACGAGATTTTTCCATTCTAATTACCGAAAATGATGCTGACACATTCTGATTACTGAACTTACTGATGCATTCTGTTTACTGATTCATCTTATAAATGAAACTATTTATACCCCCGGTCCGTAGGAGAGGGGCGTATACTGTTTTACCCTTGTGTGTCTGTCTGTCTGTCCGTGTGTCTGTCCCTAACAAATTTTCGTCGCAGTTTTCTCAGCAACTACTCATCATAGATGCTTGAAATTTTAACACTTTTCACTAAGGCATGCCTTATAATGGGATACATTTTTCTTCAAATCTGGTGTCAACTTCCTGTTTGTCTGTGTGTCTGTCTGTTTCATACATAACAAATTTTCGTCACAGTTTTCTCAGCAACTACTCATCGCAGATGCTTGAAATTTTAACACAATCTTCTCTGAGGCATGCCATACAGTGGGATACATTTTGTTCAAATCTGGTGTCAACTTCCTGTTTGTCTGTGCATCTGTACGTTTCATACATATCAAATTTTCGTCGCAGTTTCCTCAGCAACTACTCATCGCAGATGCTTGAAATTTTAACACTATCTTTTCTGAGGCATGCCTTATGGTGGGATACATTTTTGTTAAAATCTTTTGTCAACTTCCTGTTTGTCTGTGCGTCTGTCCGTTTCATATTTAACAAATTTTCGATGCAGTTTTCTCAGCAACTACTCTGAGGCAGATGCTTGAAATTTTAACACTATCTTTTCTGAGGTATGCCATATGGTGGGATACATTTTTGTTCAAATCTGATGTCAACTTCCTGTTTGTTTGAATGTCTGTGCATCTGTCTGTTTCATACATAACAAATTTTCGTCGCAGTTTTCTAATTAACTATTCATAGCAGATGCTTGAAATTTTAGTACACTCTTTTGTTGAGGCATGCCATATGGTGGGATTAATTTTTATATGAATCTGATGGCAACTTCATATTTTTATGTGCATCTGCCTGTAATTGAACTTGTGTATATTAACATGATAATGTTTATTTACATCAGAGCGGGGGTATTACTAGTGAGCATTGGCTCACAGATTTCTTGTTTTATCTTCATTAATGAGTCATGTCCTTCTGCTTTAAACAAGGTACATAGAATTTAGTACAGTACATGTAACACAACTGTTATGTTTTAAATTTTCGATGAATGTGTAAAATTGGCATACACTGATAGAAAAAGTAACTTAGGTTATTTATGTCAGGATTTCTGCTTTAAACAAGGTACATAGAATTTAGTACAGTACATGTAACACAACTGTTATGTTTTAAATTTTCGATGAATGTGTAAAATTGTCATACACTGATAGAAAAAGTAACTTAGGTTATCTATGTCAGGATTTCATGTATTTATTGTGTTCTTTGTCATAGGTGGCCCTGGACAACAGGCACATCTAGCTCCCACATATGCCGCAGTGAATGCCCTGTGTATCCTGGGAACGGAGACAGCCTTCAAGGTCATTGACAGGTGTGAAATAAACTGCAGATATAGGGTCATAATTATTATAAATAAGAATGTGTAGAGATTGAAAGGTAACATTAAATGATGTGATGCATCTTGAAGATTTTACCCTATTGCACAGAAGCAAATCATTTTCAGTTCATGTTGATTGATCCCTATTTCAGAGAAAAGCTGCAGTCTTTTTTAATGAGGATGAGGAAGAGTGATGGTTCCTTCAAAATGCATGAAGGGGGAGAAGTTGACATAAGGTGAGAATTGATCTGAAGAGAATAAAGGCTTAATTAATTGTCATCCGTGTACAGGTTTTTTAGAGCCTCCAAATCTTATAAAAGCCTGTGGTCATTCAGCAAGTACCAAAACTCAAACATTTCAGATGATTACACATTTTCCCAAGTTTATCTGAAGCAATAAAAACAAATGTGCTGTACTTATGCTCTGTAATTATTTAAAAAGAAAAGAGAATGAGCCTTTTATAAGGTGGTAAAGTTCCAAATTTGTTATAAGTTTTAGCACTGCAGTATAGTCAATTTTATTTTACTTATTAAGGGGAGCTTACTGTGCAGCAAGTGTAGCCAGACTGACCAACATTATTACCCCTCAGATGTTTGACGGGACGCCCGAGTGGATAACTAGGTCAGTACTTATTTACCTTGCTACCTCTACAGGTAAGTTCCTGTTTCTATCATTACCTTGAACTTCATCAATTTTCTGCGGTAATTACATCAAGTGAAGACATTGTCAGTTCTCTCTGAATATGTGATAAGTTTTCAATGTAACTGTTGTCTTTCTATGAAATTAATGTAAATGATGTAGACTAGGTTATTGAACTGCTGATCAGTGGAATCCTTTTAATTTGTGAAGGTCAATGTTCGTGGATAAGATATCTTATGTTGGTTAGTGGGTAACTCTTATAATTGTTCATGGGAATGTAAATTCATGAATTTCTCCACAAAATCCACAAACATTGCCCCCCCCCCAATTTTTTTTTTTAAATTGATGTTCCACAGTATTAATAAGTTATGGTGTACTTTATTACTGATAGAATGGTAATCTTGAATTGTCATTATAAATAAATTCAAGGTCAATATAAATCATTGAAAATTGTAAAAATTTTGTTTTTGAGCAGTTGTCAGACGTATGAGGGTGGATTTGGGGGTTACCCTGGACTTGAGGCCCATGGAGGGTATTCCTTTTGTGGATTAGCAGCCTTGGTGGTCCTAGGGCATGGGAAACTTTGCAATATAGAAAAACTATTGGTAAGATGAATTTATTGAAACAAAACACACTTTTTCACAATTTTTCAGTTGGTAAGGTGCTAATGACTGATTGTTGTTAGAACATACGAGGGTCTTAAATTCATTCTAGGTAATTGAGATATCAGAAGTTAAATATTAATGTTTCATACATTGTCTATATGCATATATCCTGTATAGAATACAGTTTTTTAATGCATTTATGTTGTTCTTGTACCTTGATCATGTTGATATGTTTTGAATGATCTTTACAGAGGTGGACAGTGAACCGACAGATGAGGTATGAAGGGGGATTCCAGGGACGGACCAATAAATTAGTGGACGGTTGTTACTCCTTCTGGCAGGGCGGAGCCTTACCTCTGATACACATGATTCTGGCTCAGGGTAACTCTTATGTCTGAGGCATATCATCTAAATTTATTTCATAAGTCTAAATCTATTTCTGATTTAGACAAATTAATAGTGACTCTAGGCAGAGATTTTGTTAGTTAGTTATATTCATACAGAACTCTGACTAACCTTGATTTTTGTGCTGAAAAAGGTTAATGCCTTTGTTTATAATATACCCAATTGTTTTTTGTAGAACACAGTGACTGCCTGAGCTCGGAGAAGTGGATGTTTGACCAGGACGCCCTACAGGAGTACTTACTGCTGTGTTGTCAGTACGCTGGGGGAGGACTGATTGATAAGCCAGGAAAGTAGGTCATCCCCAAATATAGGTCACTGTCAGATGTTAAATATATTTTACAGGGCATTTTCACTTAGTTTGGAGGGGTTGAGGTGAAGGGTACTGGAACATAGTATGCTGATTTTACAGTTAACAGCTATAATTTACCATTAGCATATGTCTGCATTTGAGGCATTAATTTAATATTTTGACAATTAAAGATCTGAAATCCTCTATTGATTAACATATTTTTGATTATCCACTCTTTAGAAGCATGTTTCTTTTTCAGTAAAAAAGTACCTGACTCTTTTTTTTCTCACTTCAAAACCTTTCTGTGCAGAAGTACTAATTATCGATAGATAAGTATTTTTTCATCATGTATAAGGAAAAAATGGGGACAATACTCGGAATATTTACCAGGGGCAATGATTATGCTAACAGGAATGGACATACATGTAATTTTTGACATATTTCTCAGAAATATAGATTATGATTTTTAATATATTCGATCAGTGCATACTATTAGTGCAAGATATATTACTGTAGTCAGCGGCGACTCACACAAATTGTTCCGACGAAAATAGTTCCATCATTAATAAGTAGATACAACATAATTGTTCATGATAAGAATAATGTTGTGTATGTCATACGTAAAAGAAACCAAAATTAATGTTAATTTTTCCTCCAAAGATCACTTTCCCCCCTAAATGCAAATAAAAAATGTTAATATTCCTACGCTCGCTCCCTCCTCAGCTTTTTTAACATGTTTGATAACAGAGAATATATAGGTCATTCTTCGGTTGATATTTTTTCACTGATGAATTGATTATACTAATATCAACAACTGTAGTAAAATCATGTTAATTGTTCGTTAATTATCATATAGTTTCATCTAATAGAAAAAAAAATAATCATTCTGTGTGTGTAGTATATTAAATGACGGAATTTTCAATCCTGAGCAGATTCCTGCACGTGTGCAGACAAACTACACATCGGGAGAGTACCTGTAAAATGTGTAACAAAACCCGAACTGGCCGGGGATTTCTAAACTGACAGTCGTTTAATTTTTATGAATCAAAATTTGTATTCATGTGATCTAATTATGAAAAAAAGTTCTGTCTGCCATCGTAACTTCTCTGTTTGCGGGAGTCCGTTCGACAACTCCATCGCACGTGTGTATAGACCAAGGCTAACTGGTCTTGCGGACATAGGTATGTGTACTGTTTGTTAGCATGGTTAGGAGACTGGGTGACCGTAATGCTACGGACTGACGGAATTTACACAAGTTCTATAACTAGACAGTGCAGTTTTATTTTTATAAATGTCAATAAACACTGTTAAACATATTAAATCTAAAAGTCGAATATCTTTGGATATGGGGTAACCCATATCTATTCTTGTTATGTTTAAGCACAGACTCTCACCTGCTTTATCTGGATGCTTCAGGTTCTGGACAAAATGTTTGAGGAACAAAATTTACAGTGTACTTTTGCACCTTGCAATTTTAAAATCAGCATGCTTCATGAATCTGGACAATTTGCTTAGGAAACCAGTTGTGCAAATTTATGAGGGTTAACTGTATTTAATTGTGAAAACTTGCTTCATTTTATATTTATGACAATTTTCTTTTGAAAGGAATTATTCAATTGATTTTTATTTTTGAGAGTTGTAAGAGTTGTAGAATCATGGATAAAAAAAGGTTCTTGCATATAAAAAGGTGATTTAAAGAATGCATGGCCAGTTTATTAATGAATTCAATAAGATTATACATTTCCTGTCCTTGAGGTTTTAAGTTATCAAAAATCTTTTTTTATACTTCTTTATAAAATTAAAGACCAGGATGAGATCTTTTTCAGAGCTCGTGATTTCTACCACACTTGTTACTGTCTGAGTGGAATGGCTATAGCTCAGCATTTTGCTGGTGGAAAAATTGCCCACTTGAATGTACTAGGAAATACTGAAAATGAACTTGTAAGTTTAAAAAAGAGTTTTGAGAGTCTAATTTATTTTACTCTGTCTTCACTTGAAGATAAACTAAGTGAGGACTAGTGAGCTGTTGTTTTTAGTGTTCAGATGTTCATTAGGAAAAGACTTGTATATATTTACATGTATCTTATATTTCATATTTTATGATATAAATTGTTTTGTAAAATTTCCTGAGGTGGTTTAATTTTCACTGTTGGAAAGCTGTTTTACTACTTTTAGTTTGTTTTGCCTGTAATTAAAGTACCCATGTTAAATAAGCAACTTGTCCACTTGCATGTATGTGAAGGGATAGTACCCATGTTAAATAAGCAACTTGTCCACTTGCATGTATGTGAAGGGATCGACTAGATCTACTGTAATTATTTTTTGCTATATTTTTACATTTTTTTTCTTTTTATTTAGAAGCCCACCCACCCAGTATTTAATATAGGATTGGAAGCTGTTACTCATGCCACTCTCTACTTCAACAAACTTCCTGTACCATCAGAGTCATGAAGATGCTTAATTTCCTCTCTGTCATCAAAGTCAGACAGAAGCTTGTTATTTTACGCATTCTATCATTACGACTCTGTGGAATACAACTTTTAAGCCTGGAGGCCGTGACCAATTTACTTGTAATTTTTACAATCACAAGTGTATGTCCCTAACTTTTGTAAATGGTCATGTTTTAGCATAATAAGTGCCATAAGGATGTCGACATGTTGTGAACTCACTTAATTTATCAAAAAGAACCAATAAAACTGTCAGTAGTCCTCAGGCTGTCTTATTATTGTAGTCTTTCAAACTTTAAGATCAGAATAAAAAAAAAAAAAGAGTCCCGGGAAGCAAGAAATGCTCTTCTGATAAGCTAGAGAGGGGAAAAGTAGAAGTATATGTAGGTTCCAGGGGGAATTTTTGTGTGCTAGATATAGTATGAAGCACTATTATATAGCAAATCAAAGAAATGAAAAGATAATTTAGCTGCTTTTGCAACAGTTCAGATTTCTTCCATTACCAATTTTTTCTATGAAACTTCCAGTAAATGAAAGGCTAACATTTTCAGTGTAGAGTTATTCTTAGGATTAGCTTCATATGGATGATATCATTGATATTCAATGTCCATCCATGGATGCATGCATTTTTTCACTCAAATTTTTTCCTTCTCGGGAACAGTAGCTATATTGGTCACATTTTAAAATAAGGAAGCACCATCAAATAGTCAATAAAATAATGGCACCCCAAAGATGGCTCAGGGCAACAATGGGAAATAAAAATTCTTTTGTCTTCTTGAGATTGGAAGGGGTCATGATATGCAAAGCAACAAGAGGTAATGCAAATTCAATCCTGATCCTGGGTTGGGTGGGACCACAATTTGGGATTGAAATCTTGTGTGTAAATAGGAAGCCCTCTGTTATTCCCACTGAATGCCACTTTCAAGTAGAATGAAGATACTGAGGGATATAGATTATCTTGATCAGACTTGTTGGGACAAGTTGTACAACCTTTTTCCATAAACATTTAATCAAGGAACTCTTAAATACAGGAAGACGTCACATATACTGTGTATGAAATGATCAGTTTCAGAGTGGTCGTATGGATTCAGAAAACCACAGTGTGGTGATCTGGGTCGTAGGATAATACAGTCACGTGATTGCATAAAATCAACAGTAAACCCGAGTGATAAACAGTATACAGTTGTTGACTGGGGTAGAGGTAAACAGACAATCTGTAAGATCAGAGTGCAAGCTGCTACCCAAAACCCAAGGCCGCAGGTAACAGTTTGTACTCCGGTCCGAGAGATCGACTGTTTCCTGAGACTCCTGTCAACTGTTTTGTTATACTCCTTTACAGAATGTAAAGATAGCTCCGTCTAGCACCATTTGTCATCAGCAGGCAACAGTCTTTTTTAACAGTTCCTGGACTGACAGTCGGGGAAAACAGTCTAACTGTTGGATTTTTTAAAGTAAGAAATTATATAGGGACTGTTTAGTAGGGGCATAAAGATTGGGTATATATATCAATCAAACTGTGACTTTTAGACAAGGCTTAAACACTCATATGAATCCATATTTATTGCTACATATGACATTAAACAATGGAGAGATGAAAACAGACATAAAAGGACAAATCATGTAAACTTGTATAACATAAACAACACTGTTGTCAGCATCTATCAACTGGATTTCAGTGGGGGCCATTGTCTGTCGGTAAGAGCTTCTCTTTCTTTAATTAATGTTTCTTGTGTGAGGACTTTTATCTTCAGTAGTTATAAAACATATTCTAGGTGGGTTCAAAATACACGTACATGTGATATTAGTAAACAAGACCTCATTTACCGCCTATATTTACCTTACTATAATAATTATTGTAAAAACTGTTTGTTTGTAAGGTTTTAACTTAGCAGATATACAACACACTTAATTTTCCCTTAGCCTGAAATGTAAATACTGAGTAAATTCTACAGAAAATAACAGGGGAACAATTGGTTATACGTGTTAAAAAACAATGAAAAAATCTTGTACATCATATATATCTTTGTATTAATGTAAAAAAACAAAAACAAAATTTTTATATATACAAATATTTCTGCCAAGTAGGAGTTCCAGTATGAACACCTTTCACCTAGTTTTGTTCATGACGTCATTTTCTAGTGAATCACTGGGGTATACGATATTGTACATGGAAGTTTTTTTCCCAGATCCATGGTGAAATTATGTAACAAAGGATGATTAAAAAACTTTCAAACATGCATGCACCAGTAACCTAATTAATCTCCTAGTATTCCTAAAAATGATGCACTGTTTGACAGATCGTCATTCACAAATGTGTAAAATTTGGACTAAAAGGTCTTTAACGTTAATCTGATGTTTTTAACTTTTTGCGACGTCCATGGCTGATGTCTCCATCTATAGAACTTTCTGATTCTGATTCTTCAAAAGCCCCCGCTTGTGCGTTTACAGCTGATGAAACAGCAAACTGTCCCGTGCTTTTAGCTTTCTCTAAAGCTCGAACTGACAAATGAAACATTTAAAAATTAGACACTGTTTATATCAATGAAAAAGACACTACACTACTATAGAAAAATAAGATTTCTTTTCAATTTGTTGAGTTAAAAAAAAATGGTTATGTTGAGTCTCAAGATCAATACAACCACGCATGCATTAAAAATTACTTATTTGGAAAATAGACAGGGAACCGAAATCCGATTTCAATCAGAATACTCTCAAAAAGGGTAAAAATGACATTTTCTGTTTTATTTTTTATTACTGGAGTGTAATTTTCTTTACCTGATTACCAATGGTAGACAAGAAATCGCAATAAATCTGTCCCTTATTTTGCACAGATAAAATCTAATTTGACCTACAGGGTTAAATTACCTGCTTTTATAGGTGACAACATAACAATGAAGTTTTCAACTGTGTACACTTACTTTGTTGCTCTAGAATAGCATTATGTTTTTTGAGATCATCTATATCTTGTTGATGACTATGATTCTTTCTTCTCATAAATGAAATATAATCTGCTGCCTTTTTAAGGATTTGAGCTCTAGAAACCTGTAAGAGAAAGTAATTTGATGAATAATATGGAATCCATTCAATTTTACTCGTCATATATTCTCAAAATGTCTTCACTGACTAACATTAATTTATACCTCTAGTCATTTTAGTATCATTAATTTGTTCATTGTAATGAGTCATCAAGGATTACTTAATATTTAATGAATCTTATATAGATACTGTGAAATCACAAATTTCCAAGGGGGCTTAATTTTCGTTGTTTTCGAGGAATGAAGAGACTCACAAATTCATGTCTACCAAAAAATGTAAAATGTTACACACATAACTACTAAATTCTTCATCCCTGAAATCAAATTCCCACAAATCAAAAGTTTTTCCTCAAACCACGAAAATTTTACCTCATGAAAATATGTGATTTTACAGTGATAAAAATGAAATGAAGATCCCCGTCTTGAACATTTACATTAACCTTTTCCCCTTGAAGTGATGGCACCGAGTCCCTGAGACTGTGAAAACTATCTTTGATGTGGTCACGGCGTTTCCTCTCCAATGCATTGTGGTGAGCCCTTTTTTCAGCCTGCAAGTGAACAAGAATTCTTACTAGTTATTAAGATATAGGAATGTACACTTTGTATCTTCTGCATGGTTCAAGCAGGTGGAATCAAATGAATGAAAAATTCCTGTGGCTACACTAAGCCTAACCATCTCAAACAAACATCTAAACTTTCTCTTCACTTATTAACAATATGCTTGACATCTAAACAATATTTTCTCTATAATATTCTTATATATTTTAATAGCATTTCACACAAAAATTAATTAAAAATCTTAATTTCATTTAAAAGTTATTAAAATCAAATGGCACTTTCACAAATTTTAACCTTATTCATAATCCTAAGGAAAAGTGGCAATTTTGTTGTGTATTAATGAGAAATATTAAAATTTTTATCCAGAAAAATAATTTTAATCAGAGTAGAAATGGTAGAAAGCAAAACTCCTTCACAAGTATCGTCAAAACTAAGAGTTGGTAAATGCAAATGAGCATACTCGTGTTATGTACACTATATATCACCGGGTGCGCAGTCACAGTCTGCTTATATGACAATATATTTTTAACTCATTGAAATGTTGATTATAGTATTAAAGATTTTTTTTATACAAAACAGATTGCCACTCTTCCTAAGGATTAAGTTTAAAATTAAAATCCAAGTGAAATTAAATGTTCATCAAATAAACTTCCTGAAATGTGCTGAATTCAATAAATTGTACGAGAAATATAAGTTAACAGAAAATAATTATAGATCCAGAGCAGTGTATTCACAATTTCTGTTTTTATGACGTCACAAACTAGTATTTTATATCCTGACAAAATTTCAACAATTTCTTTAGAATTTATCAATTTTTTTGATATTATCATTCTACACATTATATCAAAATATTCTGAACACACATTTGTAAAATACACGAAATATGTACATTTTTCTGATAAAAAATAATTATTACATTCTTTATGCATTTATGCAGTGCTTTGAAGTCTATTGATATAAATAAACAAAGTTTGAGCAAAGGTTAATACATATGTTCTTTTAATATCTTTTATATGAGCAATTTTTGTGTGAAAGCTATTAAAGTATATAAGTCATAATATTATAGACAAAATAATAACTTCAAGTCTGTGTTCAAGTCTTGCTTGACTCAAAACTAAATGGTAAATGTGACAATTTGTTATATCTCATGCTGTGTCTATATTGTTTTACGAGATTTTATACTTGAAATCCAAGAGTAAAGAAGAATAACTCTGGTTTGTACTTATATCTAATGTTGAAACTTTTCAACAGCAATAAATAGAATAATGTTCCTTGATTAAGTCTCTTTATGTTCTTAGTGCAGTCTATTTGCATGCCACATTTATATTATAATCAGACTAAAATTGTATTTGGAGTAACATTTTGAAAGAATTTCACAGAAAATATAATGGCGATGTTCATGTTTTGCTACTTGTGTGCCAAGTTATATTGAAATCCTAAAACTGTAGAAGGAGTAGCATTTTGAAAGAATTTCACAGAAATGTGTAACCACGGCAACACCGTTCATCGAAATCAAAAACTGATACACAGAATTATGTATCTTATTGTAGGTGCACAAATTGTATTGCAATATGTAAGAATTTCACAGAAATTTTTATTTTTTGTAACCACAGCAACACCGTTCATCGAAATCAAAAACCGATAGACAGAATTATGTAAAGTCTACTTGTGT